ATGTTGAAAACCACAGGGGAAACTGAATTGAAAACAAAAAGACTATTGAGCTGATGTACTAAACAAAGAGCTATTCTCTAAAGAGCCTAACAAAATTGACAAACCATCACCAAATTTGACTTTAAAATTAAATGGACAAAATGAAAAAGAAATAAGAACAAATTCACAATGAATGGAGCAGAAATAAAGAAAATAATCAGAAAAATTCTATATTCAATTATTTGACAATGAAGCTGATAACTTAATGGTAACAGATGAATATTTATAAAAATTGATCCTAAACAATTCAATCTCATAAAAAGAGACTGAGAAAACCATAAACTCCCAAAAGAAGGACGACAGGGCAACTGAACTAGATAGATTTATACCTGGATTGCATCAAATATTTTAAGATCAATTAATTCTTTTCAAAAAACAGAGAAAGAAGGCACTCTACCAAACTTCTTTAATAAAGCAAATATTCTTCAAATAGTCAAATTAAGAAGAGACAAAACAGAGGAAGAACTAAACACCTACATCACTCACGAATATTGATATAATATTTAAAACAAAATATTAGCAAAGCAACTACATTAATATATGCATTAAAATATTACAGAAAAACTATAGTAAGGATTCAAAATCAGAAAAACAATTAGCAGAATTAATCATATTAACAAAACTTAAAAAAAAACAAAAACTTACATTTAGGAAAAAAACTTTAAAAATGGCACTCATTTGTATTAAAAATGTTTTTTAAAAAAATTGTTAGAATGGAAATTCCTTTACTTAAGATCATAAAAAGCATTTATCTAAAACCAATAACTAGTGTTATTGGTAACTGAGAAACACTGGAAACTTTCCCAATAAGATCAGGGTGAAGCAAAGATTTCATCACCACCACCACCACTATAATTTGGTAGAGAAACAGAAATGCTAGCTATAGTGATAAGAAAAGAAAAAGAAATTAAGCAGATAAGAACTGGCAAAAAGGAGGTAAGATTATCCCTACTGTAGATTATATAATGAAAGGTTCACTTGGAAAATTCTAGAACAGGATTTTTTTTTAAACTTTTTTTGCATCACAGATCCCTTTAGAAGTCTGTAAAGCCTAGAAAAACTCAGTATACTTTTAAATGCATAAAACAAAATACACAGGCTTATAAAATAAACCAATCATATTGAAATAATTATAATAAAATCCTTTTTAAGAGTGCATAGATGAGAGGCAGCTAGGTGGCACAGTGGATGAGGGTACCAGCCCCAGAGTCAGGAGGACCTCAGTTCAAATCCAGTCTCAGACACTCACTAGCTATGTGACCCTGGGCAAGTCAATTAACCCTGACTGCCTCAAAAAAAAAAAAGGTGCATGGATAACTGCCTAAGAACCTTGGAGAACAAATAAAACACTAAGATGATTTATAGCATCCAAAAAGAAGCAAGATACAAAATAAATCCACAGAACCAACTTACTAATGAATGCAGGACTGATATATAAATAGAGCCACAAAATAAGGTTTATGGGAGTAAACGACTAAATAATTGGAGATGTAATTCAGTATTCATGACTGATGTATGCTAATATAATAAAAATGAAACTACCTATATATAACTCTACAGATTTAGAGTAACCCCAACAAAATTATCAAGGGGATACTTTGTGGGACTAGGTTAAAAAAATTAATAAAAAGGAACAAAAGGTCAATGAGGGAAATCATGAGAAAAAAAACAACAGGAATGAAGTGAGATTTCCAGATCAAAAATTATATTATAATTATATTACATTATAAAATAATAATCACAAAAATTAACTGGTACTAGATTTTAAAAAAGAATCAAACAAGTGCAATAAATAGAAGCAAATGAAATCAAGTGTCTGACAAATTCAAGAACACACACTATTTAGGGAGGATTTCTTGATTTGTAAATTTTTTTTAAAACACCATAAAAATGAGAGTAAAAAAAAAAAGTAAAGGCTTTACAACTGCCAATGGGGAAAGAGTCATAGCTAGACATGAAGAGAAGACAAAGACAAAATAACTAGGAGGCCATATGTTAGTGGAAAGAACACTGGCAATAGAGTCAGAAGACCTGGATTCAAATCCCATTTCTGGTGCCACCCTTAAGCAAATGATTTAACTTCCTTGGGCTTCAGTTTTCTCCTTTGTAAAATATGAGGAACTTATAAAACTTCTGTGGTCCTTTTCAGCTCTAAACCTATGGTCTTAGCATATGAAGAATATGAATCTAATAAGAAGAAAAGATGTAGATTAGAGGGAAGAAAACCTTTGTATAACATAGACAAGCATTTCAGAGGATGATTAGCTTTCTTAAAAAAATGCAAACTCTTACTAGCCATCTGAAAAACTTTTCAAAATCACTAATACTGAGATAAATGCCAATTAAAACAACTTTAAACTATCATCCCACCATACCCACCAAATTGGTAAGGAAGACAGAAGAAGCCAATGCTGTGGGAAGGAAAAGACACTAATCTTCTTCTGGTAGAGTTGAGAATTGTTTTATCCTAAATCTAAAAAATGACTTGAAACTATGTGAGAAAAGTTTCTAAAATATTCATACTCTCTGATGTGGTAATCCTGCTACGAGGTTTATCCCCAGTATCCCAAGGAGGTCAATGACAGAAAAAAAAAATCCCACATGTAACGAAATATTGATAACAGTACTTACAATAGCAAAAAGATGGAAACAAATTATGTGCTTATCAACGGAGGAATGGTTGGATAAAATATTACGTGAATATAATGGAATATCCTTACACTGTAAGTAATGAAGAATATGAGAGATTCAAAGAAATATGGGAAGACTTGTATGACCTGATGCAGAACAAAGAAAGCAGAATCCAAGGAACAACATACACAATTTAAATGAAGATAATGCTAAAAGGTCATTAATTTCAGGTCAAATTCAAGAGGCAATTCTGACTTTATTAAGATTAAAGCATATATCTTTTGGTGAACAAATAGCAAGCAACAAAAAACCAATTATATACTTTCACTTTCCATCACTATACTGTGGAAAGAAGGAAAGCATTTATATAATGCTCCTACTATGTACTAGGCACTCTAAGTACTTTACAAATATTATCTCATTTGAGCCTTACAACAACTCTGCAAAGTAAGTGCTAATGTGTCTCCCATTTTACAGAAGGAGAAACTGAGGAAAACAGAGGTTAAGTAACTTGTCCAGAGTCACACAACTATTAACAGTCACCCTGCCTGGCACATAGTAGGCACTTAATGTTTACTGAGGACATATTTGAACTCAGGTCTCTTGAACGCAAAGCCCAGAGCTTTATCCACTACACCACCTAGCTGACTCACATTATATAACCTTACTGTTTTGTTTTGTTTTGTTTTATGGGAAAGTACCATGGAGGGAAGTGAATTGTTTATGGGAAGTGCCTATATCAAAACAAAACTTATAAATAACAATCATACAATCAATGAAGAACATGGACATAGCCAACACAACTTTCCAACCAGAGGTATTTGCCAAATGATTTACATTTGTAGAATGTAGCCAATGTAAAGGCACAGGGTTTCATATTTATCCCATGTGTATTATAGATGTTAAAGAAAGAAATGGCAAACTACTCCAGTATTGTTGCCAAAACAAACAAAAAAACCAAAATATCCCAAATGGGGTCATGTAGAGTTGGACACAACTGAAACAACTGAACGACAAAAATTATATACAAGTATGTGAACCTGTTTTATGCAAACAAACCGATCTCAGTGGCTGATTTTCCTGAGAAACTAGACTCATTGGTTTCAAATCTGGATATACTGAATTCACTTATGATTAAAGCTACATAACCACTTTTAAGAGCAAAATTATCTTAAGATGCAAAAATTCAAGAAAGTCTCAAGTCTTCAAAATAGTTTTGGCCAAATGGTGTTTTGGGAGTTTAAGCAAAAACCAAACAAACAAAAAACCATATGCACACAGATGTACACCAACACTCAGTTGTTTACCATCAAGTTATAGTGTAACTGAGCCTATAAGGACCCTAGTAATGAATTCCAAAGACTGAAACAATAGGGTCAAACAAACCACAGATCCAGCCAGCTGAGCGACACTTATTATATTGCAAATTCATTCCCCTAATGGATTTAACATTGTCCTTTCCTTAATAAAGGCTTTTCTGTAGCCAGAAAAGAACAGGATACAATTTGCAAGTCTAGTGTTCCTGAAACAACTCCGGGTACTCTTGAATTTCCTGCTCAAGTGTTTTCTCCAGACTTTCCTATTCATCAGAGGAGACATTACCAGGGTTAAGTCCAAAATTCTTTGATTTTATTAAGCCTGAAGAAAGGCGATAACAAACCTGGCACTAAAGCAATGACCTATAAATAGAAGTGGTAACTCCAAAGATTTACCAGTGAGCCTCTAAAGCAGAAAAACAGAACATCTGAGTAGTGAAGTGGCTTGGGTGGCTCTGGGGCAGTCAGGTGGTACAGTGGATAAAGCACTGGGTCTGGAGTCAGGAAGACCGGAGTTCAAATCTGGCCTCAGAAACTTACTAGCTATGTAACTCTGGGCAAGTCACTTTATCTCTGTCTGCCTCAGTTTCCTCAATTGTAAAATGGGGATAAGAATAAGCACTTACTTCCCAGGGTCATTGCGAGGTGTTTAATAGGTACCAATGTGATTCACAGGCACTAAATTAAAAAAAAAATTTCTTGATCTTTAAAACAAGAGTACGAGGTATTATGTGTAATTTATTGTAAAGCTTTTGCACAGTTCCTAGCACATGCTAAGTGCTACATAAATGTTAGCTATTAGCATTGTAGTCTTAGAAATGTGGAATAGGATAGGGAGGGAAGTCACACCATCAGCATGTATCAGAGTCAGGACTTGAACTCAAGTCTTTATGACAATACCACCATTTAACTGGGCCAGTTAACTTTTCTGTTCCTCTTTTTCATCATCTGTAGCTGTCCATTTTATAGATGAGGAAAATTAGGGACAAAAAAAACACGAAGTGGCTTACCAACCTCCCACTCCTTGTAAGGCACAGAGTCAAGCTTCAAACCCAGGGTGTCTTGACTACAGGCTCAGCCTTTTTTCCACAACTGAACACACTGGCTCGTACTTAACTGCCCTGCGAGGTAGGCAAGATAAGGATTATAACATATATAAGGAAATTGCTGCTAAGAGAGGTTATGTGATTGAGGAACAAGAGGGTATGGTATTATCATTTGAAATAAATAATTTATCTGCTTAGATTTGATATTGAGGTTCTGCATACACTTGAAAATAGTTCAGGGGAGATTTACATATTAGGGATGAATCCTGCTCTGCCACCATCATTTTGTCCACTGTTTTTCCATTTGGGGCATGATCTGTGATTAGTTTAAAGGAAGGAATGTCACAAACAATATCCTAGTCTTTGCTGCCTTAAAAAAACATAAACTTAGAGGCGGTGGGCACAATAAGTTCTGAAACGATCACTTATCCTTCAAATCTCTTTGGATTTGGAATGTGTCACATCCTCTTGCCATAAATATTTTCATGGGTTGGGTCCTCAAATGCTTTTACTTAATTATAGAAATGCTATGTTGTTGATAGAAGAACAATTTATTACAGTAATCCAAAAATCATTAAAAAAACTTTCTAAAAATTCCTAAAACTTCTAATGGGAAAAAAAGCAGCTATCAATCAAATATAAACTAAGTTGAAAAATGCCCTTTAGAGACTCAGTTCAGGACTGTGACTAAAGATAGTCTTTGTTGATCTCAGCATATTAATGTGAATATTTAGGTAAGGTGCCACCCCGAGCTTCTCGGAAATGACCAGAAAAGAATCCACCCAACAACACACTATTTACATAATGGAATCATTCTATTTCTGCACCCTTAATCAGTAACACATTCAATTTATGGGGCTTTGTAGACTACCCGGGTGAAATCACCAAGTCATATTTAGTTAAGAAGTCTCCTCGTCAAACTTGTCAGACCTTTTATACTATCTCCACACTCAGGGTGGGGGTGGGGGTGGGATGATACTAACAGCAAGTCAGAAGTATCTTTAAAACCCCTTTATGTTAATTATACCATGAACAGAGCAAGACCTTGGAGTCCAAAAGACCTGAATTTGAATCCTTCTTGGACACTTGTTAGAAGTGTCAGTTAGGAAACAAGTCACACCCCCTCTGCTTCAATTTCCTTATCTGTAAAATGATGATAGCTAATATATATATATATATATATATATATATATATATATATATATAAAGTGGTTTGTATATGACCACATAAATACTTGCTATTATTATTATTATCATACTAGCTATTATTACTACTACTACTACTACTACTACTACTACTACTACTACTACTACTACTACTACTACTACTACTGGTAAAACAAACCTATGATATTACAACTCAGAATTGGAAGGATGGTAGAGAAGAAGTTGTCTGACCTTTCATTTTGAAACCAAAGCCCAGAAAGGTCCAATGACTCATCCAAGGTCACAAAAAGAAATAGAGTCTAGAAATCAAACTCAAGTTCTCTGATCCCAAATGCAGTGACTTTTCCATTATGCTATCTATGTTAGTCTATACTTTCTCCCCACTCCCCCCCAAAAAGAAGACAAAAATCAATGGAGAATCTTAGAATTTTGACCACCAGATAGTGGCATTAGCTACTAATCTGACACTATTTGACAGGTCCTTACTAACTGACCCTGGCACTTAATCACAGAAGTATCCACTGCACAATGGTGCTGAAGAAGGGCTAATGATTGATGCCTCCACATAAATCTTTCTGTGCACTAGAAAGAGGTCTACTAGGATTTGGAATCAGAGGGTCTGTGTTCCAATCCTGACTTTGCTCTTACTGAGAGAGCAAGTCACTTAATTTCTCTAGGCTTCAATTTTTTCAACTCTAAAATGAGGAAGTTGGATCAGATGACTTTGAAGGTATCTTCCTTCTGTAAATCTGTGGCCCTATGACTTTCTCTATGGTTCTCAGAGAATACTTGACTTTGCTTCCCAGTTTCTCCTTTCCCTAGGTAGCCACCCCATCTTTGCTACCTTGGGGGTGTACACTATAACATTTGTCCCACAATAGGATCGGTTCTCAATCTTTCACTTAGCAAACCTCACCTCTTCCCTGGCCTTGCTATATTCTGCTGGTGCGGCTTTAGCATAATAGAGTTTCTTCCCAAAGAAACAAATCTTTTTCAACTATATATAACCATTCTACTGTTCTACATATTATCAATAAGAGCAATAAATGCTCAATAAAACCTCTACCACTCCAAAATACCTCAGCAGTTCCCAGATAGCACATAAGTGATATAATTCTAGGAAATGAATAATTTAAATGTTTGTATTCTGCCCTGGCCATTGCTTGACAGTTAGCAAAAGAAATTAGAGAACATACCAGTTTACAACTGATCCATGTTGCCAGGAAGAGAGGGGTTCTTAACTTTTTTGTGTGTCGTGGACTCCTTTTGTTGGACAGGTAAAAGCTATGTAAAGATAGATCTCTTCCTTCTTTGGAATGTTTTATTATCTACATTAATAATTGAAGGAAATGTGAAATTTTAGTTAGAAGTTAGTGAAAACGAAGATTATACATAGTATGTGGACATACACATATATGTTTACATGTATGTATATATGTACCACCTGAAAATCAATATATCCACAAACTTGTGGGCTCCTTGGAGGTCTGGGGTCCCCAGGCTGTTTTTTAAGCAACAGAATACAATTTGCTGTCTGGTGCTAGGAGATATTCCTGATGACCAATGATGTTTCTCCAGTCAATGACCCATTGCTAGCAGAGATCTCTTGGATCACTTCTTGCCATGATTAGCTCATGAGGGAGCAGAGGGAGTGGATTCAGTGCCAGGCCTTGGCAAGGAAGGCTTGCCACCATGCTACTTCAAGGTCATGGTCAAATTCAAAAAACTTTCATCTCTTCTGCTACCATGTTGCCTCACTTTCCCTTAATTACAGACCTTCTCTCTTGCTTCCCTGCTGGGGCAAAGTTCCACTTCTCAGTGCATCAGAAGAAAGAGCAAAGAGTGACAGTGATGTTTTGAAATGCTAGAGTTAGAAGAAACCTATTAGACATCATCTAATCTACTCTACTCTTCTCTCTCTCTCTCTCTCTCCCTTTTTTACACATGAGGAAAACAAGGCCCAGGGAAGTAAAAATGATTTGTCCAATGTCACAGAGCTAGTCAGGGAAGAATTAGGGTTTGAACCAGAACTTGTCATCCAGACTAGCACTTTTTCTCTTATACCACACTGTCTCTTGGTATAATAGAGGAAAGCGCTGAGAGCTTTTCCTACTTACAGAGAAGAATGAGTCAAGGATACCCTTTTTCCCCATTAACACTGTAAATTAACATGCCAGTAGAATGTAAGTTCCTTAAGAGTAGCATCACCTTTGTATTTGCATCCTTAGGTGGGAGGCAAATTTATCAATATAAAAAAACACTTCCTAACAATGAGAACAATCCAAAAAAAGGAATGGGCTCTCTTGGGAGATAAGAAGTTCTAGAACATTAGATATCTTTAGAGACTCAATGATTATTTGGTAGATGTTTCAAGTTGGCTAGTTCCAGGACTCGATTATGAGATTTTATGATTCTATTTCTTATGTCTATAGGACAGATGTAATGCTGTATCTCACCATTCTAACCCATAAGCAAAAAATGTATTTAGCTCGTAGGTATAATTATATACTGGAAAATTTCTTGCATTAGTCTCTGACTACTAATTAATAATAACAGTTAGCATTTATATAGTACCTATTATATGCCAGGCACTGGACTAAGCAATTTACAAACATCATCTCATTCAATCTTCACGACAACTGTGGAAAGCAGGTGCTAATATAAAACCCATTCTACAGATGGGGAAACTGAGGCAAACAGAGGTGAAGTGACTTGCCTAGGATCACACAGCTGGTAGTCTATGAGGCCAGATTTAAACTAAGGTCTTTTCCACTCCAGGCCCAGCACTACCAAGCAGCCTAAGATAGCACATGAGTATCTCTGCCTTAGGCAATAAGAAGGTATCTAAGGAAACTTCTACATTCACAAACCTTTTTCAGGAAATACCTACTAGGTAGGGGCCTCTAGGTGGCGTAGTAGATAGAGCACTGGCCCTGAAAACAGGAGGACCTGAATTCAAATGCGACCTCAGACCAAATACTTGACACTAGCTGTGTGACCCTGGGCAAGTCACTTAACCCCAACTGCCTTAAAAATAAAATAAAATAAAATAAAATACCTACTATGTGCAAACACTATATGAAGAGATATAAGGACAAAAAATAAGATCGTCTCTTCCAAGATAACCTCTTCTTGGTGTATGTACTGGGGCTGAAGTGGTTCCTAAACTTTCTCTAAAGCAGTGGACTCCAAAATGGGAACCAGGGCATGACCCCACGAAGTAATAGTGGTACTCTACAGCATAGCCAATCACTGAACATGTCTCCAACACAGCCACACTATCCCCTTCACCCAATGTCGTCAAATTTCCTTCTCTCCACCCCTTCCCTCTTGCTAGCCCCTACTCTTTGGCAATGCAAACTCCTCACCTCTCCCCTTCTCCACCGAGAGGGGTGTCCTAGGGAGGTAAGAACCTACGTGTGACAAGAGCACCTGCACCAGCACAAGCAAAATCCCCCCTCCCCAGAGCAGCCTCATGGTTTGGGCAGGTGCTGGGGAGGGGGGTGAAGGTGATGCGCTACCATCCATGGCAGTTGTTAGGAAGAGTGGGCACAACCCTGCCCCTTCCCTTTTTTCATTTTGGTTGGCACAGCGAATTGCACAGAATAAGCATGCATGGCCAGGTCTTTCTGCCCCAAAACACATCCTTCTAAACTTTCCTTTTTCTGGCACAAGTATACCCCAAGTGGCACAGTTTCAAAACACTGGTATCATCCTCAATTTCTCCATCTTACTCATGTCATTTATCAGTTGTCAAATGTCTTATCTCTACACTCTTGTCTTTACTTAGGCAACCACATCTTCCTTCTTGGTTTTCCTGCCTCCCTTCTCCAATCCTCTACACAGTGGCTGCAGTAAGTTTCCTTAAGTCAAGATTCCCTCCTCAAATCATGTCACTCCCCTCCTCACACTCCAGTGGCTTCCTATGGACTCTAGGATTTATTTCATCTTTATCTAATCCTTTTTAATGTTTGTTTTGTATAGCTATAAGGTACATTATAAAATATACAAAATTACATGCTCACTGATACATATGTATAATTGTAAACAAACTAGCTTTATTTATTTGTTTGTTTGTTTATTTATACTGATAGGAGTATGTGATGAAAAAAATTTATAGAGACCATGGCTCAAGAGTACTGGACTTGGAATCAGGAGTTCTAGCTTCTTAATACTGGTTCGCTACAGCACTGAAAATGATCAGCTGGAGTAGTTAAATATCCAGAATTTCAGGAGAAATGCTGGTATACAGAAGAATAACCTTATCAAAGACAGATTCCCCAGAGGATATTGCTGAATCAAAAGAGCCAATTCCTATAGCTGTTACCTCTGTTATTATCAACATCAAAGTCAGTCTTTAGAGACAGAATCCCTTTGGTGTGGGGAGGATTGTACAGAAAGATTGCCAGGTGGAGTTTCCAGTTATACCACAAGTTAATAATGTAAAAGACTTTTGTAACATTATGGATCCAGTCTGCTGTAATTCAAAAGACCAAACTGTAGCAGAAGAGATAGGGATATAGGCCAGGACATGTACTGCCAGGTGAAGTCCTGAAAACCCACTGAGTGTTGTACTGGTAGGGGTAACAATTTAAATTTTTCTTGGCCGGATACTAGTGTGCTTAGGAACATGGAACAGTGCAGACATTTTCTAGACCATCTCCCACCTCCAATCACCTTTAAAATACAAAACCATAACCCTATTCCAACTTTCCACTACTAAGATAAAAATTTCTCAAAATGTTGCTAAGCTCAAGAAGAGGGAAAAGATTTAGATACTATGTAGAATGTAATATAATACAGAACATAATACAGGCAACTGCCAAAAGCCATTATGGTGATCCTGTCATCTGTCATAAAACTAAGGATTATTTTCTTTGATTGAGAAGTTAAAAAAAAAGTATTTGTAGCCATACCTACAAGCTAATTATATGTACTTCCGCTTACACTTGCTTACATTAAAAATGTTGAAAGAAAAACTAGCAAATCCCCTTACCCCAAGATGCTGATATACAGTCTATTTTCCTATGAACATCTGAAAAGTGCTCACCAAATACAAGTTGCCCTTCTGGCATACAGTGTGCTTGTGGACATCACTGTCCTAGGCTTTTCTCCTGGAACCAAATCCTTAGTTTCTGTTTAGTGGATTATGGCAAGTAAAAGTAGAATAACCATGATGTCATGGTACTGAACTAAGGGGAAACAGGAAGAACAGCTTAACAAGGGGAATTCTGAAGGAAGTTTCAGTCTTAGCCCAATATATACCTGGCAAAAACAAAAACACAAAACATAAAAACAACTTTGTTAAGGTCTCTCATTTTACCTGTATGCATTCTGGACATACCCACTCAAGCACAATCTCTCATCTCTGCTAAGTTTAAACACACATACATAAAACACACACACACACACACACACACACACAGAGACACACATGTATGTATATACATTAGGGTATGCAGTTTTAAGTTATTAAAACTTAAAACTTTTGGATCACCCTGTGTTTTGTGTTCAGGTTTTTGCTTTTTGTCATAGTTATGTCCTCACATCAAAACAAATTAGCCAAGCAGAGAATCAAAGCTGGGCTACATACATTGAAGGCCAAATCCAAACCTCATACACCAAGGGAAGTTCTACCCCTCCCCCCCAAAAGAAAGGCAACAGAGAAGGAAGGGACAAAACCAGAGCTTGGTAGCTTTAAATGAAAAGGTCCCCACCCTTTACTCCTTTGGTGTCTAGAATTTCTGCCCATGAAATGATGCCAGAAGCAAGAAACCAGGAAGCCAAAAAGAATGTTTTTTATACCAATAGGCAGAGGGATCAGGGTGACCAGAGCCACCAATGAATGGACAGGGCAACAAGAAAAAGGCCAGTGGTATGAGGTGGTGTGACATGCTAGTAAAGGAAAGAGGAGGAGCAAGCTTTTGGAGAAACTGTGGAAGCAACTTGAAAACATAAATCACTTAGCTGCCCAAATATAAAAAATTTCACCATCTTGGAAGACTTGCTTCACAAACTGGGGTGGGTAGCGTGGGAAAAGAAAGCAGTTTAGAGAAAGGGAGGAGTTTACAGAGAGCAAAGTTATAAAATTGTAGTTTAAGAGAAGAGGGTAGGAGGGAAATTATAAAATTCACACAGAAACTTTTTAGATAATATTTGTAAAGCGCTTAAGCACAGTATCTGGCAAACAGTAGACACCAAATACATGTTAGCTTTTTTTTTTCACTTGTAAGTATATACTTCAATTTTAGCATACAACAAAAAACAACATTAGAAACTAACAGTTGTGGG